AGTCCGCAGCCGCAAGAGGCGCCGCCTGCTGGGGCAGGGCCGGGCCGGGCCGATCGACCGGGGGCGGGCTGGGGCCCAGCTTCTCCCGCCAGCTCTCCCACGCCCCGCCCGTAGGCGCGGCGGGAGGGTGCAGGGAAGGGGCCTCAGCAGGGGCGGGCGCCTGGCTTGGGGGAGGAGGGGACACAGTCGGGGCTGGGGATTGGCCAGGAGCTCACTGCGCCCAGCCCGGGGCCGGATCGGGCGGAAAGGCGAGCCTGGTCTGTGGGGAAGCGGTGCGCAACCACTGAGACTCTTCCATCTTCTTCCTGCGCCCTAGCCCACCCCCTCTTGGTTTGCTCGCGAAGAAACGGGCTTCCGCTGACCTTCCCGAGGGCAGGGTCCGAGTCCGGGAGAGTGTGCGGAGGAGCCGCAGCTTGTGGCCTGTTCAAAAATGCTAGGGCGGAGCTTCTTCGTTGTCTGGATGAAGTTTCCAAAGAGTCCAAAGAGGAAACCAGGAGGGGACAGACCAGGGAAGTGTTTATTCCTAGTGATTTTGCTACTGAAAACTACCCTGTTTGGAATACTCTGCGTGGTGAATTTAGCTAAGAAGTGAGAGGACCGCAGCCCACCATCTCTGGGCTCTGGACTTAGGCAGAAGAATCCAGCCACGAGAAAGGAAAAATGGGGTGGGGAGGAACAAGGAGGAAGAGAAGACAATTCCTGGAAGGAAATCGTGTCTAGACTTCTACTCCCCGAGCCCCCCACCTCCAGACTTTTCCCTCTCTTTCGACTACCCGCAAAAATCCTAGGCCCACTCTGAACGTCAATTTTGCATTCGCTTGTTAGTTACACAGGGAAAAAAATAAGGATGGAGTGTCTAAATGTTGCCCGCAGAAAAGTTACCTTGTTTAAAATGACAGAGTGGCAGCCACTTGAATTGATCTACTGGTCATTCAGAATCGCTGCACCTCAGGTTCCAGAGACTCTGACACCTCGTTCATGTCCGTAAATGTCATTTTGTGTTACTTTATGAGATTGGACATGCAAAAACGAGCTCCCTTGAGTTTACAGGCTTGAAGACTCAAACATTAAAGTCGTCCACCAAGGCAAGTGCCATTGTATTCCACAAATTTCAGTATTATGGCTCAGACATGGAGTTGTTGTTAAGTGCCATCAAGTTGATTCCAAGCCATAGCGACCCTGTATAGGATTTCCAAGGAGCAGCTGGTGAGCTTGAACCACCAACTTGCAGTTCAGACGACTTTGCAGTGTGACGCATTAGCCCACAGCGTCACACCAGACATAGAATGTTGTTGTTGTTGTTGTTGAGTGCCATCGAGTCGGGTCCGACCCACAGCGACCCTATACAGGGTTTCCGAGGGTGTAAATCTTTACGGGAGTAGAAAGCCTCATCTTTCTCCCGCGGAGCGGCTGATAGTTTCGAACCGCTGACCTTAAGGTTCGCAGCCCGATTCGTAACCACTACGCTACCAGAGCTCCTTAGACATAGAATAGGACAGGACGTTGAAATGTAACCCCTGCTTTTCCTTTGAAAATAAGTGTAGTTTTCCTAGGAGGTCCTCCAGGGCTTCTCTGGATTCCTTCACCGTCATTACCGATAGGCTGAACAGCAGTGAACTGTACCTCACACCCACCCTACCACCACGAGTTACTGTGAAAAGACCGTGAGGAATAAGCACAAAGTTAAGAAAAAGCATGAATCCTGACACCCAGAATTTACAATCTGTGTCATTTTTTTACTACCTTAAAAGGTGGGGGTGGGGTAGCAAAGGGGTTAATGGCAAAGCAGACAAGAACAAGAATCTTAAAAATGTTTGTGCTCCTCAACCCAGGAGTTTTACCTACGGAAACAAGTAGACAGTAAGCAAGAATGTATATAAAATGATGGTCAGAACTGTGACATTTATAATAATGGGGAACTGTACCAAAGTCTAACAAACTCGGTAAATGATTGTTGTTAAGTGCCATCAAGTCAGTTCCAACTCATAGTGACCCTGTACAAGGTTTCCAAGGCTGTAAATCTTTACGGGAACATTGAAAGCCTCATCTTTCTCTGGCGGAGCAGCTAGTAGTTTTGAACTGCTGACCTTCCAGTTCACAGCCTGATTCGTAAACACTATGCTACCAGAGCTCCTATGATCGTTGATTTATCAGGTTGCTAGCCAAGAGACTAGAAGTTCGAGTCTATCCAGAGGGACCTGGCAATTTACTTTTGAAAAATCAACCAAAAAAACCCTATAAGGCACAAGTCTGTTGACACACTGGGGGTCCCCTTTTGCAGAATTAACTTGATGTCAACTCTGGTAGCATACTGGTTACAAATCAGGCTGCCAACCTCAAGGTCAGCAGTTCGAAACTAGCTGTTCTGCAGGAAAAAGATGAGGCATTCTGCTCCCGTAAAGATTTACAGCCTCGGAAACTCTGTGCAGGGTCACTATGAGTCAGAACCGACTCCACAGTATTTAGCAGCAACAACTGGTGTGGGGCTGCGGGTTACTACTCTGGACTGCAAGGTCAGTTTGAATCATAATGTTGGCGGTTCAAGCACACCAGCCGCTCCTCTGAAACCCTATACAGGGTCACCATGAGTGGAACCGATTGTAAAGCACTTAACAGTGGGAGGAATACTGTACTGTTGTTGGGCTGAAGAAAGGCTGGTGGGTTTGAACAGCCAATCTTGCAGTTAGCAGTCCAGTGCTTATGTATGCTACACCACCATACCAGGAACCCAAGAATAGCATGCAGTTGTTAAAAATGACAAAGGATGTTGTATTCAGTAACCTGGCACAATAGTCTTATGATACATTGTTAAGAATAAACTTGCAGGATGCAACAGTTGTGTATATAGACTGGTTTCAAATACGTAAGAGGGGTCTTCAAAAAGTATATGGATAATTCCATTAGCTTTCAGTTCCACTTCTCCACGAACGTTTTGAAGCCCTGCATACCTGTGTATGTATGTGTAAAGAGAGATAACTCTGAAAATAATGCAGATCTACAAGTAGCTAATGTTGAAAAGATTTTTGTTTTGTTTTTTCAGTCTTCACAATGAGCATTTACATGTAACTTGTAAAAGTTAAGAGAAGGAAAAAAAAAACCATGAAAAAAGCTTACTTAATAAAAATCAGGTTTGATTTTTATTTATATATATTTTTAGCCTAAATGTTTTTCTTACAGTGTGCTTTGTTATCTCTTTGAAATCATGCATTTTCTTAAGAGAAACTTCAGAAAATATTTTCGAGTGGGGGTTCATAAACAAATATAGTACAGGGTGAAACTGTTTCTGCAGACTTAAATATGTTTTCTTTCCAAATATGAATCTGACCTTACACATCAAAGAAGGAGCTCTGGTATCTTAGTGTATTACCAGATGGGCTGCTAACCACAAGGTCAGCAGTTCAAATCTACCAGTTGACTGTGGGAGAAACATGAAGCTTTCATATTTACAGCCTCTGAACCCCTTAGACATGTCTTTATGAGTCAGAACCAATTTGATGGCACATAAGTAAAGAGCTGTTAACCTTAAGGTTGGTGGTTCAAAACCACCATCTGCCCCTCTGGGTCTACATGAGTCGGAACCAACTTGACAGCACTTAACAATTAATATACATCAAAGGACTCCTGGTGTGGCACTGGACTGCATATCATTAGATCAGCAGTTCAAACCCACCAGCTGCTCCTTGGAAATCCTATACAGGGAAACCACCTAACAACACTTAACAACAACAATAATACATCAAAAAGTCAGGTGCTTATCCTACAGCACCACACCAGGACTCGATAGGAGATTGAAAACCAAGACTTGATTATAGCAAGTCACACCTGCAAGACTTCAAAAACAGAGCTTATGTGTTCCATTTGTTTCTTGTTGTTAAGTGCTGTCGAGTCAGTTCTGACCCATAGTGGCCCTGTATAGGGATTCTGAGGAGCGGCTGGTGAGCTTGAACTGCCAACCTTGTGGTTCAAACCAACTTTACAGTCCATCACATTAACCCATAGTGCCACAGCAGGTAGATTCTAATTCTCTAATTGTCCTTATCTGTTTGCCCTATTTTTTCCTTTTATCCTTAAACACAATCATAGCTACAGAATAAGCACTGAGCTAGTAACCATAAAGTTGACCGTTCAAACCCACCAGCCGCACTCAGAAACCCTGTAGAGAGGTGCTAGGAGATAGGACCAACAGTACAGAATGATGACAACATTGAAAATCCTGTCATATAACTCCATTCTCTTACGGGTTCATTTCTACTGTCTAGTTTTTTCTCTCTTGGTTTGCCAGGATTTCACCTGCCTGTTGTTGTTGTTAAGTGCCATTGAGTTGATTCCAATTCATAGCAACCCTTTATAGGATTTCCAAGGAGTGTCTGGTTTGAATCAACATGCACTAGAGGGTAGACACGCATTGGCATAGGTGGTGGGGCAGGCATTATACAACCGATGGGAGTTTAGCAGAGGAAAGATGGGGGTGGCAGAAGACAAAAGGAGGAATGCAGTGGTTAAAGTGATTAGCTGTAAATGCTGTTAACTGTTCGTGCATAGAGGGGATTGCAA